TAAATATTTAGAAGTTTTGTAACAGTTTTTTTTTAATTTTATTTTTTTATTTTAAGTTATTCGTCATATTTTGTTTTTAATCTGTTTCAATAAAAGAATGTTTTAAAAAAAAAATTAATTTCAATTTTTTTACTTGATAGTTGAGCATCACCATACCGAAGATAATTTAAGATCATTAATTTTTTTTAAAAAAATATTTTCTTAAATTTTATATCACATGATAGAACAAACAAATTAAAATAAAGCGAATGGTAATTAATAAATATAAAACATATTTTAAATTAAATAATTTTTATGTTAAAATAAGTCAAAATCTATAATCTAAATGGTCCAAGTTCCAACCGTAGGTTAAAATATAGTGTTTTGATAATAATTAAAACATGAAAACGTGAAGGGGTGTGGGGAACACGTGCTAGTTAGCACTTCATTCCTTGTCATGCCCATACTTGCCCTCATGGCTTCACGTGCTCGTTACAGAGACTCGACTAATTCATATTCATTTCAAAAAATTAATTTTAAACGTAAAATATTCTTTAAAATAAAATCAATTTCGTATTCGTTAAAGTTCGTACGAGCTTCAAAATCTTTGATACGTACCATTTGGTCGTAATGTTTACGGAAACACATGCAATTGTTTCTAGTTCAAAGACGAAGTTAGAAACTTAATTACGCGAAATCCTTATTTTCCCACCTTTCTAAAATACCCTAATAGGTCGTAAATTACCCTAGAAACCTGAGAAAGTTATTCCAAGTTGGGAAAAGGAGAAGGGGCTTTCTAACATGGAGATGGTGGAATCTTGCAAGTTCTTGGCCAATTTCACCGTAGCGAATCCGGAAAAGCTGGAAATGGAATCAAAACCTTTTGAAATTGTTTGGCACCCAGGTAGGTTAGGTTTATGCATTGAGTAGTCATAAATCTGTGCTCGCCATGTAATATATGAATGAAATAATAGGAGATATATATAGACCCCTCGTGCACCGAGTAAATTTGGAGAGGAGTTGCTATAAAATCTATATATGTGGGTTAGTGTTAAATTGAGACTTAGTAATTGGTCGAGGCTTTCGTGGCGAGGTTCTTGAATAGATATTCTTTGTTAACCAAGGCATCCGGTAGAAGGGAATAGATGTCAGTATGTGTTATTTTGACCCGTTGTTGTAGTAAATTGATGAATGTTGGTGATTAGTTTAAGGATCCTAGTAACGAACATTAATTAATGAAGAGCTAGGGCTGAATGTGTCTATTTTTGTGATAAGTACGGAGGGAAATTCGTAGGTGATTATGTATTGTGTGATATATGTTGTTCTTGTTTCTTTGTGATACTTGTTTATGCATGGACAATACAATATTCCTAGGGATTTTCCTAGAGATTAATATGAAAATCTGCAGAAAACTTATTTTCCTGCAAATTTTCATACTAATCCCCAGGAAATTTCCCATGTGATTCACCCTTTTCTTATAGTGGAAATTGAAGATATACGATTGTCAATACCATGAAATCATAATTTAAAGGTGCGATCTTGATGTGTTCTTGTGATTGTGATTGGGGATCGGATTGCCACGTTCTGGCAAGCTAACTATTGGATCGGGTTGCCACGTTTCGGCACAACTTTGGGATCGGATTGCCACGTTCCGGCAAGCTAACAGTGTGACTTTGGATTTCATGAGAGAACCATTGATTTGGGTCCCTTGAGAGGACTGGTGATGTGTTAATTCATATGGAAGGTATGGTTGATTGTTTATATTGATAACATTGTGTATGTGATGATTCGCTTGTGAGAATAGGGTGTTTGACTTGTATGTTGTACCAAATGGGAGTGCTATGTGACGATCTAGAATTGGGGTCTTTGAGTATTGTAAGGGCGAGAGTAGAGATAGGGAATGCGGTGAGAATTGCTTAGGTGGATTGTACCTTGGGGAAAAGAGATTAAGTTTAGTGTTATGAAGGCTTGAATTAAAGTGTGACAGACTGTGGTTGGTAGAGGAACGAGGGAGTAAGGTAGGCGTGTGGGGTTAGTTGAGTGCTAATAATTGTGCTTGGGATTTGACTACGGGGTTAGAATGGTTAAGCTATGATCGAACAAAAAAGGGGTAAATGGGTTGACCGAATTAGAGGGAAGGTGGAGAAGCGAGTGGTCCATGCATGACTCTATTATTCTTTTTTATATTATGAGGTGGGCATCGGGTTGACCGCTACCAGTACGTGTGGTTGTACTGATACTACTCTTGCTATGTCATTTTTTACATAGTCTGGATGCAGGATTGGTGATGTTTCATTAGGCAAAGACGAAGAATTCTCTAGCAGCTCCGACTTTTCTTTCCGAATGGTGGAACCTGTCTCTTGGTTATTTAGTTCCGTTGTTACTCTTAGTAGCTCTTGTATTTGTTAGACTAGGTCCTTGGGGGTTGTTAAGTTATTTTAGAAATTTCACAAAGTATGTATGTATTCCGGATGGATTAATCATTAAGTTCGTTAACTTGCCTTTCGTTTTCTTTAATTTTTCCGCATGTTTCCTAGTTATTGGGATATGAAGGTTCTCCTACTTAGGTGTTAGAGTGGATGCCCGCACGACCTGGTGGATTGGGTCGTGACAAAAACTATCTTAGTAGACATATATCATAAGATCATACTATATATTAATTCTATACTTTCAAATAATTATGCATATTACCATCAAATAATAATTTTCTATTATATATTGAGGAAAATATGCTTAGATATATGTATTTTTGCTATCAGATATACTAAAATAGAATGGAGAGAGTGATAGTCGTGTATCCCGTATACATTAGGAGAGTGACGAATGAGATTTGTCTATGTATCCGATACATATAAATCCACTTGAATACAGTGTATCTAGAAGAAGTTACATCTAAATACATATATTTTTGCTACAATGTATGTATCACAAACTAGTGTATATCTAAGTAATTAACTTCTAAATTAATGAAATTTCGGTAAATTTTTCTCCTATTAAATTGCTATGATGGGCGTCTTAAGTTTGAAAGAAGATATTGAGCCTAATGTCATCATTCAGATCCGTCAATATGTTTGAGCCCAATTTAAAACTTTAGTCACTTAGGATTCTTGTTTCAATTTCTTGTAGGAAAATATACTATTTAATTTTATATTTTATTATTATTATTATTATGTATTTATTAATAATGAATTACAGATAAAATTAGTTAGTTACAATAAATTCTTTTATTAGTTCAATATATATAAAAATAAAAAGAATTCACTCGTTCAATAACTAGTGGCAAGAACTCCGTGCTTTGTACGGGCCCAAATTATACATAATTTTGGGTAAATTACATAAATCCCATACTTTTAATATGAAATTACAATTTATCCCTAATAAGTTTCTAATACATTAATTCCTTAAAAATTAAAAAACTCAGATACAATAATTGAAGCTCGGATACATTAATATGTAGCTCGAATACATTAAAAATTAGCTTGAATACATAATATGTAGCTCGGATACATTAAATACTTACTCAAATACATTAATATGTAGCTCAGACACATAATATTTAGCTCAAATACATTAAATACTGGCTCAAATACATTAATATGCAGTTCGGATACATTAAAGAAATAAGAGATTTTGGAGATTTTTAAAAGTAATAGGGGATAATGGAAATAAGTGAAACAAAAGGTGTGTATTTCTGTAATTTCTCCCATAATTTTTAGTAGGACTTACAAAAATTTCATTAGTTTAGGAGCTAATTATTTAGATATACTCTCTCATTTGTAATATTACGAATCTTATTAGATTTTTGTGCGTCCAAATTGTTCAGATACATGTACCTGGAAAACATGAAGTCAAAATTAAGTGTAATTTGTTTTAGATACAATGTATCCAAATGAATTCACATGTATCTGGAATACATAACAAATCTCCCTCGCATCCCTCTCATGTTGCTCGTCACTCTCCCTATTTTAGTATATTTGGTAGTAAAAATAAATGTATCTAGATGTATCTTCATCAATATATGATGGAAAACTCTTAATTAGTGGTAAAATATGTAACTATTTAAAAATATAAGTAGAATTAGTATATATAATATGAATGTATATCTAATAATACACACACATATATATATAAAATCTCTTATTATATAAGAGCGAGTTACTGTTGAAGCAAGCACGTCTTCGTCGACGTGCCTAATTCAGCGTCTTTCTGAAGAAAAAATTTTTAAAATATTTCTTTTGTTCTACTTTAATTTAATTAAGATATTTTTTTGAAATTATGGAATCCTTTTAGTTATGATTTTTAGTTTTAAATTCAAGATTTCACGTTGAAACAGACACGTCTTCGTCGACGTACCTGCTTTAGCGTGTTTCAAAATTATTTTTTTTTAAAAATCACTTTTTTTGTTCTACTATAATTTAATTTGTGTATAATTTTTTCGAAATTATGGAATCCGTTTTAGCTATGACTTTTAGTTTTAAATTCATATTCTTTAGCTATTGCTTTATTATTTTGAATGTCGGTAATATTTGTTTATATCTTGTAACTACTTTGAGTAAAAAATTAAAGGTCGATGACGAAAAATATTTTAATTATAGACATCTTAATGGACCTCTTCACAATAAATTTGCGCAAACAAAAATTAATTAACCACTTATATATCTAAAAATCATATTAAATTTATTCAACCTTTTTAATTCTACATATATCACATAAATTAAAATAAAAAAATATTAAAATATTAAACCCGTGCTAGTACGGACACCTATATCTAGAATATATATATATATATATATATATATATATATATGTTATAATTGATGAAGAAAAAGACAAAGTCACCTCCAATATTAGTTCAAATAAGATATTCCTTACTGCCATATTTGTCATCTTATTTATTATTTATTTTACATACTTAGAGAGATAAGGGAGTAATATAGACCTTTTGTCTAGGAAAGTGCAACCAATGGTGAGAAATATCTCCAATACTAACACAAGTTGTGAAATGCCATTTTAACCATAAGATGGGGCTCAGATTACATATGCTCTCTGTACACATTTCTTCTTCTATTACAAGTAAGTAAGATTTCATACTATTATTCTTGTGTTTTTCGTTATATTTACTTGTTGGAATTCAGTAGCTCCATCAACAATAACATTTACGTACTTTTTATTTTCAATTTCCATTTACAGATTATAATAAATATTACAATAAAAAATGGAGCAAATTGAACCATGAAAATTAAGAATAGCATATTGGGGTAGGGTTATGAGAAATGGGGAGGGGCATTAGACGAATCGAATCCTTACCAATTTAATTTGATGTTATTTACTCCCTCTTTCTAAATTTATGTGTCACAATTTGAGTCAAATTTCTTAATTTAACCATAAATTCGGATTTTGGCTTTTTTATTTTTTTTTGGAATTGAACTTTGAGAAGCACATTTAGCTATAAAATTTTGAAGTTGAATTTTAGCTTTTGAAAAACAACAAAATGGTGTTTTCACTTTTTCCATTCCAAATATTCACAAAAAAAAATAAAAAATTTATCTCCAATTTGTATTCATAGCCGAACTCAAATTTATACTATTTTTTATCATCAAATTTTACTTTTAATGTACTTCCTTTGTTGCTTTCCGTGACTTGCTATTCGATTTTCCTATTCTAACATATTGTCTAGTAGAATTTTTTCCTATAGCTTAACTTGCTTTTAATCTTTGAAGCAACTGGAACATTGAAATCTAGAGATTGCAATGCCTTGTGTACAAGCATTTATCCTTGTGGTTCTACCAAATCAAAAGAACCTGCTAGAAGAGTGCTCAAGGTATCTTCCGCGGTTCTAGAAACAGCAGCATCTATTGCAGTTGCTGCTACTGTTGTTGGGGCTGCAGCAAGTATTCTTGCAAGGAGAAATAAAGCTTCTGAAACAATCGAGGTGTGTTGAAATATAAAAAATAGTTATTTCTTTCGATAGAAATACTTGTTCATATCCTTGAGAATGATATTACACTAAGGGTATTTTCTGATATTGATCTTGAAGTATCGAGAAAGAGTGACCTATCCGACCATGGTTTGCTGACATTTATGTCTTTCAAGAAAAAAAGAGGAAAGATATTTGTTGTTGATGTGTTTTGGTGATCGCACCTTGCTGTTGTTGTTATGGCTCCTTTTGTTGGGTTATGAAGGTGATTAGAACGTCATGCGAAAGTTTATAATTGCAAATCATAAAGTTGATAAATCAGATGATAAATAAAAGCATACTAAAGATATATTATTAATATGGTTTGGTCAAGCGACCTACATATTGAAAACTAATACTAAAAAAAACATAAATATGTTTAGGAGAAAATCTCCGCATAAACAAGACTCTTAAAGGACTACATTATGGATTCTATTGTGTTCTTAGTGTGAGAAGAGGGGTCTTCTATTTATAAGATTTCATACGTTTCCTCTAAGGAAAGAATAAACCAAATATGGAAGTGAATTATATTTACCTTCAGAAAAAGTTTAAGCATTTATGGTAATACTTTAACTTTTCTTTGTAAGGAAAAAATAAACTTCAAATAAGATAAGAAAATCAGAACACAACTCTAACACCTTTCATATATGTTACGCACTACTTTTCTTTGTACTAGCCGTAGTATTGAAGTTTTTTTTGTTATATCTAGCATCGTCAGTTGTTTATTGTGTGTTTCGATTATCACACTTTTTTGTTGTTCTTGTACCTTTCTACACTGTTTTGTTTCTAGCCATTCAGTGAGGTTAACTGTTAGCCTAAGGTACCAATCTGTAGTAGGTTATTTGCTGCTCCTATTTCCTCTATTTCAATCTGTTTGTCTGATTTTGATTTGGCACAAAGTTGAAGGAAGTTTTTCAAACTAACCAGAAAAAAGGAAAATCATTATGGAGAGTTGTGAAGTAGGGGGAAAATCAATAGTTAATTTGTTGCTCAAATGTGCTTGTTTTTATGCTCTTATACAACCCACTTTGATCGTTGTTTTTATCAATAGACAGGCCCCGCTGAGAATCTGTGAGGATTGTGGTGGCTCTGGAGTTTGCGCAGAATGCAGAGGGGAAGGATTTGTGCTAAAAAAGATGTCGGATGAAAATGCTGAAAGAGCAAGACTGATGGCAAAAAATGCAGCTACCAGATATACAGCAGGGTATGTTTCCAATTCCGTTAAGCCTCTCATTCATATGCAACGAGCTCTAGATACACGAATTCATATCATGCATTTCGCAGGCTTCCGAAAAAGTGGGGATACTGTATGAAATGCAATGCTGCCCGATCCTGTAGTTCATGTGGCGGCGTTGGCAAGTTGAACTAAGTGTTCTTCATTAGACAGACATTTGTCACGGACTTAGAGTCTCACTAATGTTCCAAGTGGTGGGACATGACACATTGCCACAACACAAATTCAATTGTGTCTCAGTGTCTTCTTCATCAGAAACATATTGTGGCAATGCACTGGGAAGAGAAATGAAGAATATATAGGCTTAATACATATTCAAATACTTTATCAATCATTCAGGTCTAGTTTGTACTTAATGAAAGTATGAATTCGAATGATTTAGACATTAGATTATTAAGTACATTTGTTTTCATTAAAATTTTAAGCACTTAAGGGTCATTTTGTAGGGTGTATTTGGAGATATAGACCATGGATTATGTATGGTACTATTTAGTACTATGTTTGGTGGAAATTTTGGATCTATGTATAACTAATCCATACATTAGTTATACACCCTACATGGTATTACAGTGTGTATCTATAACTAATACCTTCCATTTGGTGGTATTAGTAATATATACGATTTAATACTATGCGATTAATATATGTAAAGACAAAAATACTCCTCAAATCTTTTTAATCATTTTGTTTATTTAAATAAATTAATTTACAAATTTTATTATTTAGAGAGAGTTGTTTGTTGCTTAATCCAATACAATATTTGAAATGTGCGTTGTTTAATATTTACTATTTAAAAAGGTAAATATATGGCCACATGGCGTATGTGATCTTAATTGAATGTATTATTTGTTGATATATATGCAATTTTCTGATTATTTATATTAATTTATAAAATTGCATACAAAGTAAATTTAGCAAAGAAGTTGCTTGCACAGTATGAATCCCATGTTTCTCTAGTTATATATACATAATAAGCACCTAATTATTGATAATTGATGATGTATACAATAGCGCCAATCACTATCTGTGAATTATTGAGGAAATAATGAAATCACAAAGTAAAATAAACAGTTCTTTGCTTTTTAAAAATTTAATCAAAGTTTATTAGAATTTAAACGTAATTAGTCAAAATTAATAACCTGAAAAACCAAAATATTTTCACTAATACAAATTAAAGAGCTTAAGCTACCATTTGTCAATCTTCTTAATTTCCCCCTTAACAGGAGGACAACCAACACATATTTTCTACGAAAAATATTTTCCCTGGTACCAAACACACCCTTAATTGTAATGCTTGTTGATAAGCTTTTGTTGTTTCTCTTTTCATTTTATATTTCTAAAATTTTGCTATTAATTAAGATAGGCATAATACATAAACGTACTTTTTAACTTAGTTTTATTTTGTATTTATGCTCTGTAATTTTGGGATGTGCATAAATAGACACTCAAACTTGTCTAAAGCTGAACAGGTAAATACACACACACATCCTACTTGGCGTCCTACATGACAATTCACGTCTGACGTGGCATCATATATGACGTCCTATGTGTATTATGTCATGTAGAATGTGTGATTCTACTTATTAATTATATACAAGTTTAAGTGTTTACTTGTGCACATCCAAAATTGGAGGGCATAGTTATGAACTGAAGTTAAGTTAAAAGACATATTTATATATTATATTATTAAGTCAACTAGAGCCCGTGTGAGATATTCAAAATCAATTATTTAGGTAAAAGTAATAACAAGGGTAAAAATATAAAATTAGCTTTTAATATTTAAATTGGACAAGTAAAAAAATAAATATATTTTTAATATAGTGAATAAGTAAAAATAAACAGAGTAAATATTTTAAATTAGTGATTTTTTTTAGTAAATACCACTACCATTAGTTCATGCAGTGCCATCTTTCTATTTCTCCATAAATTTTTTATGTGTAAAAATAAAAATCTCTCGAAGCCATTTCAAATAATTCGAGTTCCTTAAAATTTATTTTCAGAATATTTTAACTATGGAAAAATTGGACTGCGTACCAAATATACCCTACATGTAGTATTGACATAAATCATTAATTTCCACTAGGATGAGTGGATCAAATCATTCATCATGCCACCAACTACACATATATCATTAATTATTATTGACATAATAGTCACTTTTAATATAGAAAAAAAATTATTTTTTTCATATTTCACTCACAGCATTAATTACTTATGCTTCTCAAATCATTTTTCAAGGTCTTTTCATCCATATAATTACTTATTCTTCTCAAATCATTTTTCAAGGTCTTTTCATCCATATAATTACTTATTCTTCTCAAATCATTTTTCAAGGTCTTTTCATCCATAAATAAATTAGGTGGAGTTCAACGCTCTCCACATGCTCAAAATCAGACATTTGGAGGGTTGATAACGTAAAAATAGAGGTTCAACATCGATAAATATATTGGGTTGGACTTAACTTTAATTGATAATAAACTGAGATGAATTTAACTCTAATATCATGATAAATATTAATTTTAAGCTTATATCAACCTTAAAATCAACTTATAAAGAGAGGATTGTCCAAAATACAACAAATAATATTATTCTCTCTGTTCCAATTTATATTAGTTAAATTTATTTGACACAGAGTTTAAGAAATAAATAAAAAAAATTGAAATATGTGGTTTAAAATTAGTGATTGATATTTGTGTTACTAGAAATCATTTAATTAAGGGTAACATGAACATTTTAAAATTAAATTATTACTTCCTCCGTCCCAATTTATGTGACACATTTCAGATTTCGAAATTCAAACTAATCTATTTTTTACCGTAAATTTTTCATATATCTTTTAAATATTATGGATTGTCAATTATTGTGACTTATAGTACTTTTTACGTAGTTTACAAATATATAAATTTCATTTCAAAAAAATTGATACGCAAATTCCCGATCAAACTTAAACTGTTTGACTTTCGAAAAATGAAATATGTCACATAAATTAAAACAGAGGGGATACTAAATATTGAAATGTGTCATTTTTGTTGGGATCGACTAAATAAAAAGTCAGCCATGTAAATTGAAACAGATAGAGTAATATTTTTCTCCCTTTTGGCAATTATTAATTCTTTTTAAAAAAAAAAAAAAAAAAAAAGAGGAAAAGGATTCTATAAATCAATTGGATGCTTCATTAAAAACTTGTCTAAAACCCATTTTTCAAGTCTTGTGCACTAGTAGTTATGGCAGCAGGAAGATGGAATCTTGAAGGCTGCACTGCCCTTGTTACCGGTGGTTCTAGAGGCATAGGGTCAGTTTTTTATTTATTTATTTAAATGATTATTTATGAGATTCTTGATTTATTCAACAAAATTTTGCAATTTAAATTAATTTCATCTATATAGTAATAATATGTATATACGTTGTTCAGACTTTTCAAAAATATTGTCGTGAGGAATTTCTGTACATATAATGCATTTTTAGAGAATTTTAAGTAGAAATATTTTTGAAGAATCTGAACAACCTAAAGAACGAAAAATATTTTACTTAAAGTTAAAATATCCTTTTTTCGAGAAAGGAATATAGAAATGAAGTTTGAGAAAAAAATCTAATTGCAATAGCAAAAAGGAAGGATATATGTCTTTTTTTTCTCTACGAGCACAAAGTATGATGAAAGTTGTGAGTTGTGTTAGAGCAAGGGTTATTGTTAGGAGACTTGAGAGGGGTAGTTTACCCTACTGGATGTTAGTGGTTCGAGTCTGTTTATCTC